TCTTTTCTTCTTCCCTTTTCTTTTTTCATTTGAAAATAATTCTGAAGAAAGAGAGGCCAAGGTTCAGCTTTGGCTGATTCTAGCTTTGTAAAAGAAACTTATTGAATTTCTATAAACAGTGACTGAGTGACTAGTAGCAGAAAAAACATCTATATCATTTTTAGAGTTTTTCTTACAGTTTTTTTTTTTTTATTTAAGTACCTCATTAATGTTAATGGATTTTTTTTAATGAACTGTACTCACATTACAGATGGGGGAACTGTTTTGCAGTTTGAGAACATTCAAAAAAATCCCTAAAGCTCTGAAAGACTAATGTAATATTAGCATTGTCAGTGCCAAAGATTCAAAAATCATCAGATTATTCTTAAATTCATAAAATTAAAAACAAAAGTGTGCAGTTGGCAGGGGGTTGCTGACTGAGCACTGAGACTTCAGGGGCATCTGGCCCCTCATTTCCAGCTTTTCTCTGTAATCATGTGTTTATTTTTTAATAAAAGGCATGAATTCTATTAAAAATCTTGGCCTCAGGAAGTGGACTTGAATAAAAAATCGTGCAGTTATCAAAACACTTGTGACAGAGTTGCCAGTATTAGCAATGGTATAGCAAGTATTGACTTCTGTTCTCTGTATTCTATGGTGGGTTGCCTGGAATGGGACCCCAAGCATTTCTTAATTTCTGAAACTTGTTTTTTTGGACAACTGCTGAAAGAAATTTGTGTCTGTATGCAAGCAGTGTGTCCACAAGCTTAGTCATTGACCCTAATGCACAAAATGGAGAGAAAGACTTCTTTCTCTAGTCAAAAAAGAAGCTGGAACTACATCCAAAAGACATTTAATTCCTTTAAAACAAATGTCTTTTGGTTATAGTTTTAGCTTCTCTTGAACTCCAGAAGCCAGTGGAATAAAGCAAACGGACAGACTTCATTCCTTTTTCTGTATTAGCAGACCTAATACTAGCGTTAAGGATATTTCAACTCATGGACAGTGCCAAGATCTGGAACCACAGCATTCACCAGCAATTGAGAGGAGTCAAGAATGAGAGTCGAAAGAACAGTGAAGCACAAGGGGTCTGGGATCAAAATGAAAAATGATGTTGGAGGCTAGAAGGGAAACTGTGGTAGCAAATAGACCTTTACATTACTGACCAGTGTGGAAGCAACTGTTGACTACGTCTGAAGCAGGGCTCT